TGTCTGTTTTGTTGTCCTTCATTCTCCTATGACAGCTACACTATGCTCTAGTGACAGCCATCCTTTAGGAGCAAGAATCTCCCCTCTGTGGGCTGCTCCAGAATCCTGTGTTGAGATAGCTCCTGCAAGTCTAGAGACTTCACCATCAGTCCCTAAAATAGACACACTAGGGTTGGAAAGCAGGGAACAGAATGTTACAGCAAGTTGCATCATTTCATTTACATCTTGTTCCAGTTTTTTCTCAACTTATTTTAAGAGCTTTACGTCAAACACAAGAGCTGATCTAGACAGCTATATAGCAAAAACAAGCAGAAAACAAAGGTTAAGTAAGAAAACAGACCATAAGGTAAGCTTGCAGTACACAAGTGGTCTTCCATGTACCAGGATCATGAGAAAAGATTCTACGTAAAGTCTTATCAAAGCAGAAAAAGCATATGCTAATTTCCAGAACAATGTAAGAAAAGACCAACTATATTAACTAAGAATAAAGTATCTGAAGAATAGGGGTATTTTTGTTAAACATAATATTTTATATTCAAGGGTCAGATACAAAAAACTGTCAACTTCACTTTTCTCTAAAGAAAGGACAATGCTGACCATGCTAAGTGAGGAAGAACATCGAGCTTCTTTAATAATTAAGAATTGTAATTATTAGTTAGTAACTTTTTTGTGCCAGACTTCAGTATTTGTTTATGGAAAAAGGTCATGTATTAAATATGTCTGTAGCAAATCCACAAGGCTTTTCTGCAGAGACCATCTAGAAAAAAAACATTTTAAGAGATGACTTTGTTGAAGTGAACTTGGTCATAAATATTTTAATTGCTTACAAAGCCAATCAAGTCTGTCATATATTTAACTCTTGATGGGAAATTTGGTACCTCTGTGCTAGAAGGTAGCACATACAAAGTCAAAGCCAAGCCAGAAGTCTATGCTAAAAAAATATTAATAGTTACATAGCACATAAATCATATAAACAACATGAAAAATTGGCAAAATACTGTTTTTGAAAGAATAGTTGTCATTCATTCAGACAGTCAGGAGACAAACTGACAGTCTGCAAGGGACTACAGTGATTTCCTTGATTTTGTTCAGCTCAATGAATTGTTTTGTTCCTTAGACTACACGTGTGGAAACATAAATAGTTTCTCAGTGACATAGATGTTATTAATGCAAAGAAAATTATCTGGGCTTTCAGGGAAGTAGAAATTAGAGTTTTCTAAGAATGTGAATGGAGACAGCAACATCCTGTAGTTGGCTGTATTGAACAGAGCTGGATTGTCACAAACACCTCTGAAAAGTATTTCACTAAAAACATGACGTGTGTTACTAGTTTTAACAGACATAGCAAAGAGTGTATTCTGCCTTCAAATTAAGATGGAAAGCAAGAAATTGTTGCCTCTGTGTAAATTCACCCACACCATGAATAGTGAAATGCTGGTCTCTCCACTTTCCCATAACATACTAGATAAGGAATTGTTTCAGAGAAGATAGAATCATAGAGTCAACAAGGTTGGGAAAGACCTTAAAGACCATCCAGTCCAACTATCCACCTAACACCAATATTTTCCCCAATATTTCTTAAGCCACATCCCTTAGTACCACATCTAAATACTTTCTGAACACTTCCAGGGGCAGTGACTCCCCCACCTCCCTGGGCAGCCCATTCCTGACCAGTGCCTGACCACTCTTTCAGAGAAGAAATTTTTCTTAATATCCAACCTGAACCTCCCCTAGTGCAATTTGAAAGCTTTTCCTCTAGTCCTATCACTAGTTACAAGGGAGAAGAGGCTGACACCCACCTCACCACAACCTCACTTCAGGTAGTTGAAGACAGCATTAAGGTCTCCCCTGAGCCTCCTCTTCTTCAGATCAAACAACTATTAAAAACTATCAAAAGTAGCTAAAAAGAATATTACAGACACCAGAAAATCTGTCTGAATGTTTCTGCATGATCTGCATTATGGTTACCTAGTAAAGCATTATTTCTTGATCAGTCTCAAAATCTTTAGTATTTTTTCGCTTCTTTTGAAGAAATACAGCCAGTTTCTATTGCACAGAAAAAATAGTAAGAAAGCAAGAAAGGAAAATCATAATTGATTCCTAAATGTTGTATTGATCAGCTATTTGCAAACTAAATGTAAATTAAATGTGTTCCTGATGCTGAGAAGGATTTTTCGTAGTGAAGAAAAAGATAAACTTTCCTTCCAAGAGACATCTGCAGCATGACTGATATAGCAACTGGTATTTGTTACACCAATCGACTGCAGAAGACAGCAATATATGTCAAATCTCAAACAAAAGTCCATTCACAAATATGATATCCCTCTTTTGAATTACAATAATGAGAGCATTATACTGTTTTGTTACAGAGCTTCCCTAGATTTTTATTTTTATTTCTATTTTTAGTGTGGGGTGAGAGGTGGAGGGGTTAAAGCTTCAGAGATTCAGTAGAATTTGACAAGCAGCATTTAAGCTTTTGTGTTTGGCTTTAATTGCTGCACACCGGGGTGTACCTTCATCCTGCAGCCAGAATCAGCTGAGCAGAGGGCACAGAATCTCACAGTGCTTGTTGTGGCATGCAGGACTGGGACATCACACAGCATGCAGAAATACACAGTTAGAAGAAAGATTTTGTTTCAAAATGCCTACTAAATCCACCTCCTGGCAACTTTTAGAGATATTCTTCCACATAGTGAGTAGGTTCTTGTACCTCTAAATAAAAGGCTAACTTCACAAACATACACAAACATAAGTTATTGAGCAAGCACTGTTGTTTATAACTGCTAGGTTGCATCACAGTTTCAGTGAAAACTTTCTGTATTTCTGTTAACTCTGCCCCATTCATGTGGGGAAGAAATGCACAGTTATTTGCATGGTGGTTCTGCCATAGTTCACCTCATGATGAGCATTTGGCTGTCGCTTTCTTTAAGTGTGCAGACCCTCAAGGGCTTTGGGTATGCCTAACTGTATTCAAGTTAGGTACTCGACTTCAGCCACAACGGAGATGCAAGTTCCATTGCAAGTGAAAGAAACTTCCATGTGGATAGCTGTGTAAAAAAATAATGAGAAAATGAAAATAAACCTTGTCTGCTTTGCAATGGAAAATCCACTAACACAAATATTTTCACAGGTAGGTAAAAATAGACGCATGAAATACTTTGTTTTTCCATCAGTCTCAAGTAACAAGGAGTGCTATTGTTACAATGCTCCTTCTCATTTTAATTGCTCTGCTACTTAGGAAAACACACAACGCTGACTTATGAGGAAAGTTAACAAGGAAAACTAACTTTGTAAACAGACATCTATCACTCGGCTAAAATAACTGACCTGTTTTTACATGCCAGTAATTTCAATGGTTCTAGGAACCATTTATTTTCCTTTCCTGAAAATATTCGAACAAATGGAAGCTCACCCTACTTTCCCCCTCACACACTCATATGCAGGACCAGCAAAACTCAGTAATTTTCCACTGGCACAACAGTCCCTCAGTGTCTGCCATCTGCTGTGCTGGCAGGACCCGCAGGAGGAGCAGCAGCATCAAGTCAGGAACTGTAACGTCACCCTGTGAATATTCATTCCACTTTCATTTCACAGCTGCTCCTTATTGTCTCTGGGTTTGACCTTGCATCAGTCCGTCCCTCCCTTCCACTGCTCCCCTCCAACTGCTTTTGAAGAAGGGAGTAGGCAGTAGTGAGATACTGATATCAAAACTCCCAAACACTAAGATTCCCACTTGAAATTGATCCCCATTCCTTCTGGTGGTAGTTCTGTCACCTCTTATTTACAAAAATTTGTAAAGACTTTTGCTCTGGGAAGAGTGTTTTAGACAAGCACAGGTTTTCTAGGTCTGTAACTAGTTTATTTCAATTCCCTTATGCTAATAGATAGTGTTATTTCCACTCTTGCTAATTCTTTTTCTGGGCCCTATGTCTATGCTTTCAACCCTGTGACATGGCAAACAGGAGCGCATAATTTCACTGCCATGATCTCCAAATGTAGGAGTGGAGCCTGGCTATCACAACGGGCAGTCCCTCCAGAAAGCATTCCTGCATCACATCCAAATTAAAATGTGATAATTTTAGGCTTCTGTTATTTCAAACCCACCAAATTGAATGCTTCTGGAAATTGAGCTCAGGTAGGGCCCGTGGTGAGTTTCCTGGCTCAGCCTGAAGGCAAAGGGAACGTGCAGATCCACTCACAGGACCATGCTCCTGAGGTGTCTGGGCAAGCAGTCTGCTTTAGAGCACAGAGCTAAAGCCCTGCTGCCTCTATTTAAAGACTAACAAGATGAAATAAATTAAACGTGGTTGCCAAATAAGTTTACTTTACGTGCAGCTATTCTCAAACGTTGACACTGGGACATGACTAGCATCCACACTGTGAGAGAAGCTGCGTTTTGACCGACATTCTTAGCTGAGCTGAGATTTGCCTTCCACACAGCTGTTTTTATAAGCCACCTGCAGCACAGGGTAATAGTTTTATCCTCACGAGTGCTGCCGCTTCTCCCTTTTACTACTCGCTAGGCATAAACCCAAAGCAGGGCTTAATGAAGTTTCAGCTGTAGTGACATCCCTGTCCTCACTCCTTGGGGGTAGGACTGAAGCAAACAAGAACGGCCAGTTTGCATACTGCATCTCCAGCCAATTCTGTAGTCCTCCGTGCTACAGCACTGCCCCACAAGGTGACCAGCGCTCTGCTAACGCTCCCATTTCCTCACGTTCATCCTCGGGAGAACTCTGCGCCGCCTCACGGGAGCGCAGCCCGAAGCGAGGAGCCGGGGGCAGGAACCGGGCAGCCGCGCCCCGCTGCAACGACGGACCATTGATAGGAGCGGGCTGAGGGCGCAAACCCGCCGGCCGCCCGGTCGCGGCGCACCTGCCCGCGGCAGTGCGGGGGCCCCGGGGCCGCGACCAATCGCGGCTCGGTTCGGCGGCGCCGGGCTCTCGCGAGAACCGCCGAGTAAACATCCATCCCCCCGCCGAGGCCCTCCCGCCGCCCTCCTCCTCTTGCCATTAGCGCGGAGGAGGGGGCTGTGCCCGCACAGCGCCGGCGGCGGGCGGCTAGCGAGGAGTCGGCGAGCAAGCGAGCAGTGCGCGGAGGTGAGTGCGGCGGGCAGCCCCGCGACTCAGGACTCCTCTCCGCTCGGCCCTGGGGAGCCGCCTCTCCGCGGAGCGGAGGGAGGTGAGACCCTGTCAGTGACGGCTGGAAATCTCCCGCTTCCTCCCCCCGCCGCGAGGCAGCCATCACCGTAACGCCGGAGGGAGGACGGCTCCGCCGGCGGAGGAGGCGGAGGTGGCTCCGTGCCGGCTGCCGCCCTCGGAACCGGCGGCGTGGGGCCGGGCCGCGGGGGCTGCGGGCGTACCGGCGGCAGGCAGCCGCTTCGGGGCGGGAGAGTGCCTTGCCCTCGTTAGCAGCGGGCGGATAAAGAAAGGGACGCTTAGCGAGCGATAATAACAAACCCCTAGTAGTTTTGCTCTCTCCGTGAATGAATCCACCAGCCGGTTCCGTAACCTCTACCTGAGCTGTAGGAGTTTTGAATGGGGCCTGTGATTGGGTGTTTTGGCTCGTCCGACGCCTGCTCTGCCGTGACTTAGGTAAAAGTTAAGCGCGGAAAAGCGTGAGGTGTCCCCTGCTGCTCTCTTCTGGTTTGTTTGCTTGTTTTTATCGGTGTTTTGGGTTAGGATAACAGAGCTCACGTGCTGCTAACAGGGTGCCCCGCTGCTGCAGGGTGCCCGATTTCCTGTTGCAAAATCCAGAGCGGATAAAGAGCCTTGGTGCAGCCCCTGGATGAGCATCAGTGCTGGAGGCTGGCTTGGAAGAAAGGCAGAACGCGTTTGTCCTCGGATAACTGTTGGGGTACCGCTCGTATTGTTTGGCTCTGAGTTGCTGTAGGACAGTGAAGCTTGCTCCGAGGACCACTGGTGTTGGCCTGCACCGTACACACTCATTCAGTGTTTGATGAGTTTTCTGAAGTTGCTCGAAGTGGAGAGCTCTTGCCGTCACTGTCCCTAGTGTAACTGATGTAATTGAATGCTGGGTAACTTTATTTTCCTTTTCTTTTTTATCACTCCAACTACCTTCTGTGGCTCAGGGTCTCTCTTGAGTGCTTTGGTGACCACAAGGAGCTTAGTCACTGTTTAAGAAGCACTGTCTGCCTACTGTCCCTGAGCAGGCCTTGGGTTGGTAGTGTTTTTAAACCTCTTCTTCCCCCTCTAAACTCAATTTTCACTCTATCCCCGTTTATTCTAATAAAAATCCTCTGCCACCAGCAGGATGGAGCAGGGGATTGGCTGAAATGTAGTCAATTGATAAACTTTGATATTTGTATTGTCAGAAGAGCTGCAGGGTAGGCATGTAAATTACAATGGAAGGAATTGCTTCTCTGAATACGGTATTCATCAGCACAAAGACTAAGCTAATACTATATGACAAATGGTTTGCTCTTAGTCCCCCAGAAAGAGGCTTTATGTGTCTTAAATAATGACTGCCGACATAAATCAAGCATAGTATTGTCCACATAATCATGTAATCTTCTGTTGTTCCCAGCTCATTTCAACATATAGCTGCACTTAGGGCAGACAGGCCAGCAGTAGTGATTACATTGCCATAGCATGAACGTGTGGGTTTGGAAAGTAACTGAGTCTTAATTCCTGGGGTAGGTTGATACGGGATTTTTCTAAGTCCAGCGATGAAATAACAATCTCAAGCACTTCGTTTTGCTGTATAAACAATGAGCGTAACTAATTCTCATCCTGCGGGGTGTGAATTCAGGGAGGAGTTACTTTGTGCATAGTGTGAATCAGTTATGGTAAAGTGTGTGCAAGGTGAGGGATCCTTTCTGGAAGGATAAACAGGTAGTCCTTCCCAAAAGCATGAGAGTAGGCTGGGTTGTTTGATTGGTACAAAAAGTTCTGCAGCTCTGCAGTCTGACACTACAGAGCAACTTTTGGCAGTGTTGCTGCTCCTGTGTCTTCATAAGGAAACAACAGAACAGTTTGGGGTTTTTTTGACAACAGTGAAACCAAAACAGGGACTAATAGGGCAAATTAATTTATTGGGAAGAACTTACTTTCCTTGTCATGGGTAATTTGATCAGCATGAAGATCATTGAGATAGTACTTACTATGAGAATTGCCTGTCTTTTACTTGTGAAATGGGGTCATTTTGTGAAGCTTGCATTAACATTTCACCTAATACTTTGTGTACAGGTTTAAAAAAAAAAAAAAAAAAGAAAGGAAATAAAACACCAAATTGGGGAAATGATAATCTATGCATCAGTTATCTGATTTTCTGGTTTCTTTGTGATTTTGTTGCTTAATTTTTGCATTCTGGCTTGAGTGGTGATGTATATGGCTGATATATCAACAAACAGACTTACAGTTTTTTAGGTGAAATGCAGTTTAGTGTAAATTGTAACCAAGTAGAGTATGATTGCAAAAGCAAATACCTAGAACTTCAGTGTAATAATTAGGAGATTGCGTATGTGAGATTGTGATTGTCAGAGGGTTAGTTGTCTTCTATATTTTTACTAGTAAAAGGAAACAGTGGCTGATGTAAAATGGTAGCCAGTGGGATTTCATAAATCACAGCAAAAATCATAGAATCATGGAATGGCTTGGGTTGAAAAGGACTATATAAAGATCATCTAGTTCCAACCCCCCTGCTATGTGCAGGGTCGCCAACCAGCAGACCAGGCTGCCCAGAGCCACATCCAGCCTGGCCTTGAATGCCTCCAGGGATGGGGCATCCACAGCCTCCTTGGGCAACCTGTTCCAGTGCTTCACCGTCCTTCCTAATATCTCAGCTAAACCTCCCCTGTCTCTTGTTCCATCACTGTTCACCCTCATAAAATCTCCTGAGGAAGTAAAACCAGAGACAACTATTCACCTTTCAGTATCAAAGAACAGGTGATATTAAGTAATAGTTTGGTACAAACAGGTTGAGTTATGGTATGAGCAAGTACCCTAAAACTTAACTGTGAAGGAAGGCATGAGGAACAAGCAAAAGAAAGATGTCTTGGCACAAGCGGGGAGCTGAATGTGCTTAGATGTGCTCTTCTGGGTATGCCAGGTTTGGGTACTGTCTCCCTGTCCGCAGTGCAACAGATGAACAACATATGTTTGTGCTGGGAATGCCAGTGAGAACAGGGATGTCCTCATCTTGCCTGACTGCTGTCTTTTGAAACTCTCAAGTCTGCTCTGTAAGAAAAGGGTTCATTGCCAAGGTAGATTGCTTCTGCCACATATGCAAGCTTAGCATTTGCTGGCACTACTAATAATCAGTGCACGCTCTTAGTGGGGATTACTGGATAAAGAAGACATTCCCAAAAATCATTTTCTACTTTTTCTTTTTTTTTTTCCTTCCCAGGATGTATAGAGCTGAATCTAACATTGTGAGAGGCTTGACACACCTGCTCTTGATGACAAAGCAGCTACAGCTTCTCCTGGTAGAAAGCCTTGTTGTTATGAGCACACTAGTAAGGGATGAACTTGCTCATAGCTGAATGGGCAGTTGAATTCCAAAAGATATTTTGTTGTCTACAGAAGAGATTTTTTTTTTTTTCTACCAGCTAGCCAGCATGCAGATTACCTTGCCCCAGAAGTACTTCACTATTGTTTGGAGCTGAATTTATGATGAACCACCTAGATTTCCATGTATCACAACTGGAGGCACAGGAGAAGCTGACAGGACACAGACACGGCCTTGTATCTCCACTTAATTTCCCAGTGAAGAGCTATCCCTGGCTAACTGACTAGATCCAAGCCAAAATGTGAAGGAGGTGGGAGCTGCCCTCAGATGTGGCTGTTTCCTTCTTCACATAGGAGCTGAAAAAAATCTTTCCTTTTGGAAATCCACGTTTGCCAAGTTAGCCAGGTAAAAATAGTAGTTCAATAGCATCAGGTTTCTTCTGTGTTGCTTTCTGTGATGGGGGAAAAAAAAGTTTATCACAGGCATTTCTCAAAATTTGTTTTATTATTATTTTATTTAACAAGGGATGGTTGCATAATGTGGTCCCTGCCCTTTCCTCTCACTGGTGCCTTACAGGGGAGGTGACTGGAACACCAGCCAAATATCAGCCTGATGGTGAAAGGATTGTTCCAGTTAAAATGTCACTGATTTTTAGCATGCTGAGCCCTATGTGGAGGGGACAGTTTACATTAGTAACTCCACAGATAAAAGCATTGTACTGTATTGTTTTAAGGCAGCTGTTGTTTCTTGAAGTTAAAAATAAGGCGATTCTTCTGTTTTGTGGTATTTAGCATCTGGCAGAGCAGGAAAGGAGAACAAATTCAACCACAAGGTACAAATTTAATGGGAGTACCTGTTTTTACAAAGTACATAAATTGAATCCAGAGAACAAAGTCAGTGTTTAACAGTGATTAAAATTATAATTTCATGAGTCCTAACATCTGGAACAGTAAGGGAATTTTGTTCTGCTTTAGAGCTTCTCTGTGGGATGCTGGGCGATCTTACAGCAATGGAAGAGGTGGCTGTTGCAAACATGTAGCAGTCAACTGTTGAAGAGCGTTCCTGTTTAGTGGAGTACTCGGCACTTGGTTAACAGTAGCAAACATAGTTAGTGAGAATTAGTTTCGAAGTAAGATGTCCTTACGGTGAGGCTTGTAATGAGGTATCTCTTGAGGGGCATCCCAGTGAATTCTGACTTCCAGCATTAGCTAAAAGAAAGGAGTGTTTTAACACTGCTGGTGGGATTAATGCACATCTTTGTGGCTGGATTTCATTGGATTTGTTTGTGCTTGGTTAGTCCAATGCAACCATGAAGTATACTGGGTCAGCAGGCTGATATTCTTCATGACCAACTTGCCATATTTCACTTCTGTTGTGCTAAAGAAAAATTTTCTTGCTGAATTTTGCCATCTGCTTACGGTTTAAAATAAGTTATTTGCTTCATTTATTGAAGTTACAGCCTGGATCTTAGTTTCTGCAAACCTTATAGGAAAGACAGGAAGGTTTTTATTCTTTAAATATGGAGTAGGAAATATTTGAATTTATGGAAGGAAGTAAAACTTGAATATATTGTAAATACGGCTTCTGGTAAAGTCTTAGAGTTCAGTCCTGCCCCAGTCTTAACAGGTTC